GCGGGGCCGAATGAGTTGCATCGGTCCACGTATCTCGTACACAAGTGAAGATCAGTGGCTGCGACAAGGGCTCACTGTGATACCCGTAGGCTACTCTATCCCACCCATTAAACAGATTCATCGACAGGACTTGTGTTGCGGTTGTTGCTTTAAGGTGTGCGGAACTCACACGGGCTACACACATAGTGTGAATTTTTGAGAAGTTAAGCAAAAATCTCGGTAACGATCAAAAAAGTAAAACACTAAGTGTTATTGTTGATGCTGTCTTTACGTTGCCATTTAAGGAATCAATTACGTGGCATTTGCAATGCATCGGCACTGTTTCGTCAATACGGTAATGGACTGATCGAAGGCGAATGTCCGACGGTGGACGGTGTGGTGCCGGCCATCAAACAAATTACTCACGCACTTGAGAAGGTTCGTAAACGCACACAATCTCCGCTACCATAATATTCTTGAGCAAATCGATTTTTCCAGGATTCGTTAGATCTTGGCTCACTGGCAGGTCATTTGAAAGAGGTGGTTACTGAACGACTTGCGTCTATCATTGACGTCAATCATGAAGAGTTTGATGGCACTTACATCCAGGTAAGAGCTATTTGTGGCTCACTTCAAGTTCCCTGACTTCACTTTAGTAGCCCCGAAGATCTACAATCTGCTAATTTTCAGGCGACAGCGCTCAATCCTCAGCTTGCTGTGCTTCTCACAGAGCAACAGTTATCGTATGCGAGGTCAGCGATCGAGCAGGAGGTGAGCCGTCGTTCATTGAATTGCAGTTGTCCAGTGCTGCTAATGCCCACTAGGACTTCATTCTTCTTTTTCAGCTACACTCACGCCAGCCAGCACCCACATCGTCGCTTACCATGGACGCTCTTCTGGCGTCAGTTCTGTCGTCGTCACCGGATTCCTTGCCGTTGTACACGGATCTGCTCCAGCAAGCTCAACGATTGCAACAGGTAAGGGAGTTTAAGGTCTGGACTAAACAGGCCATGAAAGTCGGTGGTCTTGCGGCGAGTAACGATAAGGCTATAAAGGCGTGTTTTTGAAGGCACTTTCGCGAAGAATAGGTGTGGGTAATTGGGTCCGAAGGAGTGGATGAGGTATTTTGCGCCGATTAGTATCAAAAAGAGCAACAGTTCTGCTAACAACTCGTGAAATTGCGTTGACTCATCATATGGGCCATGCCAGCCAGTCTATTGACCCTCTCCTTGATGCAGAGGAATGCAGTGAAGAACCGAGTTGACCCAAATGTGGTTGCGCCTTTTGGTTGTGAACAGCACCGCCACGCATAGGACAATGCGTTTTAGACTTCTTAGCAACTCTGTTTGCTCTCTTTCATTACCTATCAACTTGAAATGCCACATCTACCCTCTGCATCCAAAAACCAGATACGCGCTGAGTGCAGACCACACACCACAAGTGACGACGGCCTCCATGTTAAATCTGGTTACCAGTAGTTTATAGTGATAGTTGATAGTTGGTAAATGATAGTTGTAATTAGTGACAACTGACAGGATATCACTGCAACCGCCAGCGCACTGCAACAGCCAATCATTTCATTGGCAGAAACGTTTAAATTTTTGGTAGCCATCGTCATTTGTTCGAGGTGCGTCTTCATAGAGGCGATGTGATTTGGGATGGCATGAGGGTGCATTATTTTGCAAACGCAACAACCAGCCTTCATTGTCATTATGCGTTTTAACATGCACTAAATGCATATGCAGTGCTTTTTAATAATAGCTTAACATAAGCTGGCGAGAGCTTATCTCTTTCCACTCGGATAACAAGCCACATCAGAAAGTAATCAACGAAATTCTAATTTCACTAATACGAGTCATCCAAAGCTTTCTGGCGATTGTGGTTCCACTAAGAGCTCTACTTTTGCCCGAGTCGAAAGTGTCTATTTTAGGAACGTAACGCTCAGCCGATGCGCGACCGAATCACAGAAGCTGCGCTGTCGTCGTACTTTGACGAACTGCTCAGCGGGGTTTGTTTTTTTTTTTTTTGATTGATTTTGACTGATATCGATTACCACAATGATGAAGCGCTCATGTCTCCCTGTGTTTTTCAGCGAGCCAAGGTTCATGCAAGCTTACAATTCCTTCACTCTATTCCACCACTTCCTTCAACGAATTCAGACCTACTTTTTGAGTGGCCACCATTTACCATTTTTGAAATCTAGGTCATTTTTCATCGGAGATAGTCTTACTACATCACTTTGCAATGGGGAACTTGCACCACTACCGGTTTTTACCATCCAGAAGACAACTCATCGTGACTGAGATTCAACACTAATGTTCCTAGGACTTTTGGAGTATTCTAATATTCTTATAAAACCATTCATTTGAGAAACTCCTGCCCGAAAGTACGTAGGTGATAAGAAGGGATTTTGAAACACAGTCCGGCTAGTCTAGATGAAACCTTTCGAAAGGAGCCACGCACTCAACTCCCATTTCGCATCGTAGAGGCATTTCAACAAGTGTCAGTCTCTACGATGCGAAATGGGAGTTGAGGGTCAAGGAACATTGCCGAATCTGAGGTTCTATTTTATGGAACCTTTTCGACATGATTTCCACGTCCACAAAGGGGTATGGGGCTTAGTTAGAGCTTTTGCGACGGCTCTCCAAACGATCCATCATGGTCATTATTCACCTTATGTGTGGTGTCCCGAGATCACAAGTTGACTTAAATGTGAAGCAACAGCTTGTGGCTCTAAAATTGAATCTCCTAAAGTTAAAAGAGCCAAATTTTACTGGTTTAATGAATTTAGTTCAAAATTTTTTGAGTACTCAAAGGCATGCCCCAGGATCACATTGGTGTGGCTCTTGCACACGAATGGAATGTATTGGTGCGAAATGGGCCGGCAGTAAAGAAAAAGGAAAAGAATCCGTCGAAAACGCTTAGGTTAAGGGCTCACTCACCTTCCTAATCGGCTGTGCTAAGGGAATGAGAGACTAAGCGCGGAGAGGAGAGTATGAGGCGAGAGAGCGCAACAGATGAGAGGGCGCCAGACAACAGCCTGATAAAAGAAAAAATGCAGCTGCTGCAGCTTACTTTGCAAGGCCCAGCGCTCTTGTCGGTTGGTTTCCGTGCACGGGAATGCCACATCTGTGATTGTCCTCTAGGGGTCTATCCTACAGACCGAAGGGAATCGTTCACACACTTCTGCCTGGACTGCGCCTTTAAGCTCTTTTGAACAATATTTCGGAGCCTGTTGTTCCACCTTTGGAATTCAATATAAAACAATTTTTCTTGTATTGTTCTCTAATAATAAGTATTTCAGTCAACTGCCGAAGCCCTTCTGTCGCCACTGCGTTCATTTGGCAATCCTCTTCAAACACCACTAGTGTTCTGGCAAGGCTGTATGCAACGATGTCCAACGTTGGCCAGTCTGGCCCTCGAACTTCTCTCCATTCCTACAGCCACGGTGACCGCCGCGTCACTGCTGGCCTCACGTGGTGCATCACCATTCCAGAAACCGGATCCGATTCCAATTCTCTCGCATCTCGACAAACCGGAAAAACTCGATCGAAATTTATTACTTAGATTTAATCGGAATTTTATACATAAAGCTTATTAGTTAGAAATACTAGTACTTGATGGTGTCTCTCATATGTCGAGCTCCATCTCTATTGCACGACCTAGTTCGGCTTCTCTCTTGTGCATTCTTCTTAACTTTATTAAATGTTGATTTCTAACATCTATTCATCCACGATTACGGTAGTCATTAGAAGAGTGTT